GGCAAGCGGTAGCCAGACCGGGCTCTGGGACGCCCGCATATATTGGTTAAAGCCACCAACTCTGAGATGCTCTGCAGCTCCTTCCTCCCCTCACTGCAGGCATTACTTTGCCCTCCCTGCAAACCCAGGGAATGCCGGCGGCGACATGCAGGAGGGATGAAGCATCCCATCAGCTAGCCCGCGCCAATGGCTAATTTAGCCACGAGCGAGGTCTCCTCCCTGGAGCCCTGTCCTAATCCACCCAGCACTTCAGGAAGGTACCGGAGCAGAGTCGCCAAAAAAGTTGCGGAGCGTTTCAGACTCTGTCCCCTATGGCTTTCAAAGGGAGAAATCAAAGGGAAGCGCCGCGCTTTGTTCCGCGGGGGAGCGGCACGAAAGGTGAGCGGCAGCGAGCCCGGCAGAACCGGTCGCTTCAATCGTCCGCCAGCTCACCTTTGAAGTGGTTTTAAAAATGAGAGAGGAGGGGCAGAGACCCGAGTTCAGCTCTTTTACTACAACTTCACAGAATTTGAGGACGTGGGGGGTAAGAGGCCGCCTTTCCCCCACCAGAAATACAGCGTCTCTGTTCAGAGAGAACAGAACACGGCTAATAAGAAAGGCCGTGATGCTCATCAAGTACATCTGTTGCGTCCTCACGCCCTGACGAGGCTACAAACAGCTAGGAAGGCAGCAGCATCTACCTATGGTTCCGATGGAGATGTGCCAGGCATCCACGTGATTAACCGGGCACCCTGACACAGCCTCCAGTCTGGTGCCGATGGAGTGACCATCTCTCACCAGTCACAGCCTTCTCTCTGCCTCGCATTCCCTCTCCCCCTGCCTGCTTGTACTTTCCCCACTGCCTCTCCTCAACAGAAAGGACTGGTTTTAACCCCGGCCCACCACAAGTCCTAGGAGCTCTTTCTATACAATAGTCACAGCATCAACTACTTGCTGCAGCACAGGGAATCGAAGCAATGCCAACACCACGGGAGCGGCACTGTGCAAGGTCAAGCCAGGTGGAAATCAGTCTCTGTTCTACCACAGAAATACATATATATATATATATACAAAAAGAACACAACTGATTGGCATGACCAGTATTCACAAGCCCAGAGTCCCCCCAAGCCCGATGAGCTACAAACACCATTACCTAGGCAAAGTCAAGACAAGAGGTGACACTCTCCCGTCACTCTGCACAAATTCGAAGCTTCCAGGGGCTGTGGAATACAAGAGCTGTTCAAGCCAGACTTGAATAACAACTCTGAGTTGGAAGCCAAGTTATAGAAGCTTCCTCATCTTTAGGGGAGAGAGTGAGCTCGGGTCCAACATCTTTCAGAAACAGGAGCGAATCTGGTTTCTCTGGCTTGCTGAGAAGACCTCACACAGCGAGTTCGCGCACGCGCATGCAGCCATACGCCTGGCCAAAGACATCTACGTACACCTCACGTGCACACGCGGACACGCACGTCGAAAGCGAGACACGCGGAGAAGCAATTGAGCACGCTCGCAGTTACGTCTCGAATCTGAAACGTCTTTCCTCTTGATTGACAAGCAGGTCTTAATCTAAAATGCCAGGAGATGGGAATCAGCAAGGAAAGAGAACTGTGCTTGCCCCCCGACCCCAGGCTGCATCCTTACAAAGCTTCCCTGGAGTTCTTGTGGTTACGAGGTGTGTAGGAGTAGGTGAGACTGGTTTTCAGTAAAACAGTTGGCTTCCACGCAGGTAACACTCACCTGAAAAGAGCTGGCTTTGAAGAATCCGGATGTCCTGAGCCAAGACACCTCCAGCTTGTTGCCTCTCTACATTTTCAGCTCTGTTCATGGTGCAGATGCTGGCTACTTGGACCTTCTGCACGTGTCAGCAGGTTCTCTTCTGACTTCTGTTTCACCTTCCGAAGCTAGAGTGGGACCAAAAAATGAGATAGCTTTAGGAGACAAGCGTGAGCTTCTGGTTAAACCGTAGGGCATAAGGAACTGGCAGCCTTAGATTTTATTTGCCACAAATTGGGTCTATCAGTCCAAGATCCCTCTCTCTTGGGAAATTAGGGGAGCAAGACAGAGCTCGGAGGGCTACGATGCTTTCGCCCGGAATACACAGTATACAAACCGAGGAGATTGGGATTCAGCAACTGAACGGCCAAAGGCAAAATTCAGCCTTTTCCTAGACTTAAGGGAAAGGGTTGTGGTTGCAGCCATATACATTTAAAACGTTCTTAGGCTTTAAGCTGGAAACCAACACTTCTGCTCCCAGTTTTGCTAGCTTCATTGCACAGACGAGGCAGACCACAGGGCTCGGTTCCCTGCTTTACCTGTATTGCAGCAGTGCCTCAAATCCCTACCAGTAAGAAGAAAACGTTATCACATGGAGGAGTGCATTCCGTCCCTGCAGCAGGGGCAGGAAACATTAGCAAGCTCTTTTCACTTCTTTTTTTGGGGAGGGCCTAAGTACAACTGTTCAGGGCTTCTCTGGGTGGAGCGCTATATTATATTATATTACGTTACATCCCATCCCTCCCCTCGTGTTACTTACCAGTTCCACAGACCAGTACAGCCTTCATCAAGAACACAGAAACCTGGGGGAAGATGAAAGGAAACTCTAATCAGCTGCAGCCAGCTGCTGCTAGCAGCTCTGGATGGTCTGCAGCTACCTCTCACCCCCTTCATTGCTCCGTAGCAGCTTTTGCTGGATAGCCCTCACCTAACTCCGGGGGCACCGGCTCTGAACCAGCTACAGGTGAATTGGATCGCTGCCTGCAAAATGCCAGCTCACACGGCCTCTTGTGGCCAAGCAGAAACCTGGGGGAAGATTTCTTCAGCTCTGTTGTCCTTCTTCAGCTCTGCCAGGCTGCTTTTCCCAGGGCGGCTCCTAGAAAGCGGCACGGAGAACAGCGTCCTTCGCACGGACGAGTACGTCCCCAAAATGTTCTTCAGTCTTCTTTTCACATCAGTACCTCACACTTTGCTTTTCAAAAGCCACTCCTGGCTGAAGAGCAAGCAGGTCAAGATAATTCATCCACATGCAAGGTCTAGCTATCCCAGGACTTCTTTTACCCCCTCAAAATACTTACGCCGTTCTGAGAGTATTAACATAACTGCATCCAGCCTAGCACTCTTGTGCGAGTTTACTGTGGAAGTACCAAAGGTTATGAGGGTAGGTGAGGCATCAACTGAGGGTGCACGTAGATAATCACGGGCTTAATGAATTACTATGCCTCAGCTGATGCAGGTACCACCGTATGAGAGTTTCACTCCAGACAGAAAGGGGAAAGCGGCTTCGTGGTGCGACAGGTCGAGTGATACGTGGTAAATTATTAAACTGTAGTAGCTGGGTTGTTTGCAACACATCTCAAGTCAAATACCAGGCTCTGGTTTCAGGGAGGGGAAAGGATTTTGATTGGGGCACGCTCAGGCTTTTTTGAGGAAAGCAGCCAACGGCCAACCCAGCAGGTCCCGCTCACACCTGAGGAATCTGACGGGGCACACATCGTCTCTGCTAACGACTGAACTTTGTCACACCAGGGTGGGAAAAGCTATGCGACTGCAGTCTTCTGCCTCCAACAAAAGCCAAGCCATACTGGCTCGATGTTTGTGAAACGCCTAACAAGGGCATACAGCACAAACTATCGTGCCTGCTTTTATTGAGGAGGCAAAACGGAGCATGCCAGTGTCTTCTCTGCCCTTTGAAAGTTACCCCTTCAAGAAGAGCTTGGTTTGGTGTTTGACTTATTTTTCAACAGCCCCTCTCGAAAGATGCAAAAGCGCAAAGAGTGAGAACAGCGACAGCAAACAGCGCAGGAGTATTTGGCCCAAAGCACTGCAGAGCGAGCCTGCAGTGGGGAAAAGCACCTTACCCCTTCTTCCATCTCACAGCAAAAACCTAAACAATTCGAAGCCCAACCTGTGGTGCTTTCAAGCTGAGATTCTCCCAACATCACGATGCTAACGTTATGGTGCAATCTTTTGCAGCAATTGCCAAAAACAGCTTCTTTTGGTCCGTCTCCCTGCTACAGACTGGCAGGAAGTCCCGTCCCCCGCCGCTACGAGCGTTAAGCTGCATCCTCCTACAAAACGGTCAACATGTGTAGAGAGCCTGAAATCTAATTGCCTGCTGGTACTAAGCCAAGGTTGGGATTTCTATTTGTAGATACCGCATTTCCACCCGTGCCACCGGCCTCCCCTGCCCCCCAAGCAGAAGAGTGACCGTGACTGGGTGAATAGGATGAGGATGTATTACAACCTCCCTTTAGTAGCACAAACCACATTGCTTCGTTCGTAATACCTGGGACAGATTAGGCAGGGGCTGTGTTTCAAAGATGCTGTCGGAGAAACAAAACCAATTCAGTAAGGTGTGGAATTTAGACTGCGTCTTCGAGCTGCATAAAACGTTTCTGAGAGACACACTGTGAAAGCACACCCAGTATCTGCTTCACCTGGCTCCTTTTCCCCGATGGTGGTACTCCCTCGGTGTTTTGCCTGGGCTGATCTAAAGCAGCTTCCAGTCTTAAAACCTGCTACTTCCAGGCAAGCAGGGTGAGGGAGCTCCCCAGTCCCTGCAAACGCATCCCGAGCACTCTGTGCATCCCTCAGAGATCCGTCCTGCTTCCAGAGACATCCGGGTTCTCAGACCAGGGCAGTCCACTGCAGAGCGTAGGTAACGCTGTGATTTCATCAGAAGCAGGAAAAACTAAAAGGTTAGCCTAAGGAACACGGGAATGGCTCACTTACCAAGGCTCTAGCAAAGAAATCAGAGCCTACGTGGTGCCACCTATCCTATTCTCAATCAGCCCACTTACTCCACCAATACGGACCATTTACTCCCTGGAAGGGGCTTTAATAGGTATTTAGAAGTGTGAAACAGAGACCAGCCTTTCACCCACCTGTGTGATATCCTTTTTAAAATAAATACGAAATCAAGTCTGTTGGCACACTGAGCACTTCAAGCTCGTGGGATTCTTTGTGCCACCCTCGCGGATCCTGCCGCGCTCAGCACCCGGAGATTACTTTGCCGTACAAAGAAAATGTACTTGAGTTTTCAAAACAAGTCATTTTGGGAAAGCCTGCATTTAAAAAACGGCCTTGAGGACTGGGATATGGCAGAGGAGCTCAGACTCACCATCACTACTGAAGACTTTCTGCAAGGTAAGGGCCTCAGGGGGACTGATTGACTCGGCTTCCTTTTAAAAAGATTCCTGTTTCCAAAACTCAGGTGAAAATGGTAAAATCTGGCAGATAGTAAGTTCCAGCCTAGTTAGCAAAAAGCCCATTTTCTTTATGTTTAAACGTGATCAGATCAAATTAGAAGTTACACATAAAATAAGTATGCAGCTTACAGAAAAGGAGGCAAACACAAAAAATACAAGCTCACCACAGCGTCTCTGGGCTCCCCATGTCTACCATGGAGACCCCGCGCCACCGCTCGCTGCCAGGGGCACTACCAGATGCCAGGGGTAAGTCTGGGACCTGGTACTACCTACAGAGGCTGGCCGTGTTCCAGGGAATGGCCTGGGAAAGGGGCTTTTCTTTTGCCAGCCAGAACATCTGTGTCCAGACCGGAATTTTTCTAAGCTTACTTAGAAGAAGTTGAAGCCAACTCTCAAGGACCAGGATATAACTACATAGCCGTGCCTGCAGACACACTTCCCTCCGACTGCAACCTTTTGGGTAGATAAACTTGGGAAAGGAGGACCGAAAGGAGTAATTTAAACTCTTCTGGCTTTGCAGGGGAAAGAGAAAGTAAAATTTCAGAGCTAAGCACTGTTGTTTGGGCTGGCTGCAGCAGGGCAAGTACAGGCAGACATGCACACTGTATGCAAAACAGGAAATAAACCACTATTTAGAGGGATGAGAAGGCAAATGGGGACCTTTGACTTGGGATTTGCATTGCATTAGAGCTTCCTTACGCTGCGTCTGGACAGCAGGGTCTAGAAATGGTCCTCAGGTAGGACCAGTGTGGTGACGTTGCTCTTTCTCCTTAGAACCTGGTGTTCAGCCCCATCTGTGGATGTGGGTAAACCCCAGCCTGGTCTGCCCCATCCCTGGGAGCCCTGGCGTAGACCCGGCCAGGTCCGACGGCCCAGCGGCCTCAGTTGCTGGTGCCACAGAAACCTCCTCTCCGAACACATCCTGGGACTACTCTGACCCGTACTGCTCCGAGGAGGACGAGCTGTCATCCTCCAGCGAGGCTGGAAAGGTAAAAAAAAGGGAAGTGCTTGACCGGTCCTAGGCATCGTACTCACTCAACGAGCCCGTGAGAACGAACGAGCTGGCTCAGCACCTTTGTGAGCGGATGCGTCCTGTTTCTGCAGGGGTCAGTCAGTGCACGGAGCCCGTCTGACGAACAAGCTGAGACAGGGACAGAGTACAAAGGACAGGGAGAGAGGCTCAAATTTAAAGTATATAAGCTTTCTATATGCACTCTGCCAGACGCACCCTTCCCCAGAACAAAGCAGCTTATCCCTGTCCCTCATTCCTCCCAGTGCTAATATATCCACATCCTCTTTCTCTTTCCTCTCCACAGCTTACTGAGGATGAAGACGCTTTGGGCGCGAACGTCCCAGTTCCTCAGGAGATGCCGGAAACTCCTGAACTCAAGGTGACGCCCATGCCTTGGAAATCCGCAGTCCTCAGACCTCAGAGCATGAAGCTCAAGTGCCCCAGGCAGACAAGCACCAAAATCAGGGGAGGCTGGCCCCGACCCCCCCTGAATTACTGCGTCCTCATCACCCTCGCCCTGTGCAACAGCGCAAGTGGCAGTCTGACCGTACAGCAGATCTACCAGTTCACACGGTACTCACTCTTCTCCCAGCTCCTAGTGCAGAATGAGGGGAAGAGGGGCAACGAGGGGTACAGGAGTCTCTGGTCTCCTGCTGGGGAGCAGGGATGTGGCAGCCAGGACTCGTGTTCGGATCCTAGCTCTGCCTTCGGCTCAAGATGCTGCCGAGAAAACGGCTTCCTCTCTTTGTCAACACCCAAATCCATAAGTGTCGAGAGGCAGCGTTTTAGTTTTGTCTTACCCCCCTTAGAAAAACGCAGTGCTCAGCTGTGCCAGCCACCCTTACACCACTGCAGGGGGCAGGGATGACCCTCTCCTCCTTCCCTCACTCAGATACGATGTATTCCGTTATCTATCACAGCCTAAGTGCTTCAACTCAGGACAAATCTTTTCTCTCCGCAGGCAGCACTTCCCATTTTTCCAAACAGCCCCAAAGGGCTGGAAAAACACGATCCGACACAACCTGTGCTTCAGCAGCTGCTTTGAGAAAACCACCGGCTTCGTGTGCGGCGAAGGAACCCGCAAGTCCTGCCTGTGGAAAGTGACTCCAGAAGGACGCAGAAAGTTTCGGGAGGAAGCGCAGGCCCTGCCCAAAGAGGCTCTTGACTTGGTGCGCCAAAGCATGAGCGAACCGGGTACGTTTCAGGGGGCAGGAGCCCCACAAAACGCAGAGTGAGTCAGACTTCGCAAGATTCCCATAGCAGGAGGGGTACAGGCAGGCACTCAAGCCAGTTCGCAGCCACCAGCACTGCCAGATACGAGGTCTGGATGACACCAGACACTTAAAGACCCCTGTACAGATACCCCCACAAGCAGGGCTTGGTCACCAGGCAGGCCAAGAATCCTTCTTTAATGAAACCAACGTAGCGAGACAAACAAACCAGGCTACATTAAAACACCGAGCCCTCAACTCGGTATCGCGTCGCTCAGCAATACGATACCCGTGAGTTTAATATGGATAAGGACTGAGGCTGTGGCATCAGTGCCCGAGCAGTCACTATGGTCCAACCATCTCAACTTCCTTCTCTCTCTCTCTCTCTTTTGCAGATCTCATGAGATCTCTCTTTGGCCTATGACTCATTCTGGCTCCCCGCTTCCGAAACACGTACCGTGTATTTTCAAACCAAGCTTGTTTTCTCAGGTGTTGCTGCAGGTAGCTTCCCAAGAACGGCATGTGGAAATTATGAGCATCGTGATGTAAGGACTCAAATTTAGAAGGGGGGGGTGGGGAGGAGAAAGATGACGGATCTGATTTCCTTCAGTAAGGCAAGTTTTTGCTCCAGCTGCACACATCTCAAGTTGCAGAGGCATTTTGACATGCGGCACGCGCTACGACTTTGTGTTCAAGTCCTCCATGCAAGCTGCTGCCTTGTGCAATGTCCTTGCAGTACAGAGGATTAAGCTGCAGGAGAAGGCTGATCTGTCCGCTAACGAAGGGTCTCAGCCCACAGGTCAGAGGCTGAGCAGAGAACGCGTTATCTGGCTGAGTAAGAGGAGCCCCTACCATGCAGATGTTATTCCAAGCCATTGCACTTGCCTGCCCAGCTGTAAAACCAGCGGGCAAGGATCCACATAACTGCTGGGCAGGCTGTTTGGAATTTCTCTAACACTCACTTAGCTTACTGACATGTTCTTGACACTCACTTCTCTAGCGAGAGACAGGAAAATCACGTCCCCAGGCCAGAAGTCAGGCAGATAGCAGGTATCTAGTGTTCAAGAAGAGCAGGTTTTTCGTACCTTCTTCCTGGCCTCTGCAGCAGTTGCTCGAGTCAAAGCATGACGGTCTGGTTATGTCCATTATCAGTCCTTTGCGCAGCAGGAGCCGGGCACCCTGTCGACAGGGGACAAACAGTTCTGGACTTTGCTGTTGGGTTATATTCTAGAGCTGGACGACAGGCGGAGGGTGCCAGGGGATAGCCCATCCAAACCTGCTCGACAGGGCAGGCTGGGCACAGCCTGGAGATCGGCCCGCTTCGCCCGCGTGCCCACGAGAGCGTAAATGAAGAGACGCCTTAAAAGCGATCCGATCGAGTCTAAACGCACGCGTTAGGATGGCAGCTTCCCCGCCCAGCGCACAAACCACCGCGCAGCGTGGGTCTGCACACTGGGTGCTAATGCCACCCGAGCGACTGCAGGAGTCGGAGGGCGACAGATGGCTGTCAGCCCCACGCATGGCAGCGCGGGTTGTCTGCCTGTCTGTCTGAGCAGGACCTGATCTAAGGCGAACAGCCTTCGGAGGCTGCGCTGGATGGCAGCACTGAGATAACCCTGACGCTGCAGTTCAGATGCTCTCCTGCAGTCACGCCAGGCGAGACCACGA